GGAAGGAAAAACAGATTCTTGCTTTACACAAACATTTAAATTTCCATGGTTTAGGAAATATCAGATTGAGCAATGTAACAAGTTTATGTCAAACAAATTATTTACACTACTTTATTGATGTCAATTAAATCTCTTAAAATCGTTTTAATGTCTTTGTTTTAGAAACAGCCATCAGACCAGTTCCCAATAACATTCCACTGTCTATCATTGAGTAGAGCCAAAAAAAGCAGTAATAAAAAATTGGGAGAGTTCTTGAGGGCCACCGACAATGAGAGAAAGTTGCTTGCATTTTTTAGCATTATGTTATATTATATATAAGATATATTAGTTCAGCATGTGAGAAAAGTTGTATAACATGCTAAACATTGCTGGAACCAGTCCACTGAACCCCTGGTTAAACTTCCAGGACTAAAAGGGTGGAGCTAGGTAAGTACTGATGAAGGAAAATGGGAAATTCAAGCAACCTCCCTGAGGCAAGCAAAATGTGCAGAGAACTTTTGCACTGCAACTGCAACAACAGCTGCAAAGCAAACTGCAAGTGTGTGAGAACTGCAATGACCTTCACAACCATGTGCAAGTGAAGTGACTCTTATTAATGCAAATGTAAACTGAAAAGCGGTGAAAAACAATATGGAATTGTTATATGAAAACATTACTTTCAGATGCACAGTTTTACATGAACAACCTATGTAAAAGCATAAAAACTAAGTTATCAATTGATAATTAATTTTTTGTTTATTTACTATTATTGTAAATTGCATAATGACATATTACCAAGTTTACTAATTAAAAATCATCTAGAGTATAAAACATGATAAGTATGATTTTTATTATTACATTTTCTAAAAATGCTTATAAATATATATTTGTAAATTATAATCATAGCCTTCAAAGCATACTTATTTTAGTCCAGTAGATGGGGAAAACAATTGTGCATTTTGTGGTAAAAGTATGAAACTTGGTACACACGTACACCTTGCCAAAGAAGTAAATTTAGATATTGAGTTGTTTGTGCTCTTTTCTAAAATGGTTATACAAGGCCATCATCTCCAAAAATGATGGATATGATGGTCTGACACACTCTTCAATGCTTCTTCTGAACTCAATGACCATAAAAACCTGTGTGTAGACACCTAAATGAAGGTTCTAGGCCTCCCTCTTAGTTTCCAAGATATGATGTATTATTCTGAGAAATCTGTCATTTTGAGAAATAGCCACCAAGGCCACCACAGGTAAAATCTGGGATGAAACTGTATGTAAATTTACATTTCTTGGAATGATGCACACGTATACCAAATTTCATGCTTTTACCGCAAAGTGCACAATTCTATCCATTTTGTGCACTTATCCATTGAATTAAAACAAAATGTGTTGGTTGCAATATTTATAAATTAATTTCATAAAATGGTTCCAGAAGCCTTCAGATTAAATCAATGAGCCCTTTAAAAACTAAAGAAAAAAAAAACATTTTGAAAGCAATCGAGTTATAGGATTTTTATTCATTTCTATGTCCATGACATTATCCATGGCATTAAACTCGTGATTCAGAAAAACAAGATATCAAATTATGTACAGTAGCTCCTATGACACAATTAGCATCATGATTAAGTTGTTGATTAATTCAGAGCAAACTGAATAGATATTTTAAATACATTTGTTTAATTACCAATCTGTTCAAATCCACTAACATGTAAGTAATCTTCTCCACACTTAGATAAATATAGGGTGATACTGTTTTAGTGTTAGCCTCTTCCGGCAGTTTGGGCAGGAGTGACTACTTCGAATGGCATTGTGAATACAAATATTACAAAAGACATGGCCACAAACAGTAGATACAAGTTGTCGCTGTGATAACTGGATCTGAAAGAAAAGAATTAATAAATATATTTGTAGTATGTCACATTACATTTAAAGGGTTACGAGCTACAATAAAAAGATGTATCACGTAGTTTTAACCCTTTCCAGTGTGGTAGCAAAACAGTGTCATTTTTGTAATTTTATTTTATACAAATTAATAACTCATAAGTATCACCATATCTTAAATACAAGCACTTAAAACACAGAGCATAATAACATTGAACATTTTATAACCTAAATCTGAATTTGCTTGATAAATACATGATTTATGTACATAATATACCATCCCACGATAAGCTCATAATTGTTTACTTTGAAACCAGGTTTGACACTTGTTCTACAGGCTTCACTGACTCACAATTCACCACATTTTTTTTATTCTTGTTGGCATAAAATACCCACACTCTGCTATGAGGTTAAAAGGCTCCTCTCTCATGATTTGCAGAGGCACTAGTGTACTGATCAAGCTCCTTTATTATTCCCAGTTACTTATACAATTATACCAAGGCAAGTCCATAGCCAAAAACAAAGCCTGTTAGGACACCCACCCGTCACGGTTCCTGCACCTATGCAGATATGAAATTTCCTGACTTTACAACAACCATTTTTAGAAACTGAAGAACATTTTGTGTGGGTTACACAAAAAACTGCACCTGGATGTATGTTTTCAAATGTAAATATTATACAAATATTGATAAATAATGTTGTATATAGTGAAAAGGCAGGAATATTTTATTACTAATCTAGCAGTGTTCAAATGTAACTGGATTATCTGAAAATAAAAAAAGTCAAAGTTCAGGTGCTTCAGAATTTCTTGCTTGACAATTTCTGTTTAATTTTCACTTTGATAGATTCTTCCTTCTGTCTTACAGCTTTCTCAACATTTTCATCAACTGACAACAGGAGCTGTTTAATATCAGACTCAAATCTGATCTTCTAATATTCGAGATCTTCCATTTCCAACTCAGTTTCTTCAACCTTTCTCTTATCACCTTTCTGTGGCTAACCCTCTTTACATCCTATACTTTGTCAAACATTTCCTTAGTTATGTCTGATGTGGTCACTAATGACTCTCCTAGAACTAAAGGATATGTTTCGTTGGTTTTCTTTAACAGATTCTTTGTTTACAAAAAAAGCCCCCTTTGACACTGGCCTGATCATGAGACAGGGAAAGAAGAGTTTTGTAAACTCTCCAAAACATCTGGAATTGTTTCTTGTCTGACAGGAGAAGGAATATAGAGTATTCACTCTGTCCTGTTCTCTCTGAAATAAATTGTACTGTTTGAGAATAGTGCCACAGTCCCTTTCTTCCACTCTGCCAGAATTAACCAGATTTTTTAGACAAAATAAAAACATAACAGCACTGGATGATGCATTTAACAACATCACTTCTGGATTCAAGCAGCTCATATTCCTTACCGAGTTATATAATTAAGGAGGATTTCTAAACAATTTTCACAGCAACAGCCTTCAGGAACTGCATGCATTGTAGTCTAAGGCTAAGCAAATCAGTATCACTAACTTATGAAGTCCTCTTTAAATCATAAAGGACTTTCTTTGTAACAAAACCAGTGCCAATTTTGTAAGGTTCTTTTAAAATCTTTTTTGTCTGTCAAATCCAGGCTTGAAAAATGTCATGGTCCAGTTGTTTTCCAATCATTCTGAAGCGACAAATCTTTCCAACAATCCCCTAACAAAACCAGAAAAGGCAACATCTGTTTATCATCCTGGAATTCTTTAAGAAAAGTTTTGATTTCTCTAGCAATTGAGAGAAAAAGACTATTTTGGGGATGAAGAGATGGGAGTTAACAGCTTTGTGAATACTGTCATATGACTATAATTTTCATGGCTTTTTCTGTGCACCCACATGTTTAAAATGAGGTAGAAGGGACAAGCACTTTTCCACAACACTGATATTCTGCAGCCATCTGTGCTTACAAAACTTTGTGAAAGGTCCAAGCATCTAGTCTTACTTCTGAAGTCCTCAGTTCTTGCTGGAGATCCTTTGAAAAAAATAGAAATTTGCCAGTTTCTTTAAATTTCCAGTCAGCTGTCTTACACCTATCTCCAAAAGTATTGTGAATATTGTGTGTAAACCACAAGGTCCAACATATAACAGGTGTCTTTTTTTTTTGGGGGGGGGGTAGTTTATTAGGCTTCAGTTGATAATATTTTATGTAATTTCCAATTAACACTGTGGCTATCCATGGACATCTGCAATAAATGTTCAGAACTGAGGATTGTGATTACAGAAACAGCTTAGCAAATTGATCAATGTCAGTAGCATGTTCTAAGAACTATGATTTGATATGTATCTTGTGTGGACAGTTTTTCATCCCAAAATCAAACACAGCGTGTCAAGCCACTTATGCCATGAAAAATATATGAAATATGGGAATTGGGGTTTGAAAATATAGGAATATCTGGAGGAAATACTGGGTATAATTGTTGAAATATAGTATCAAATAAGGCCAGTGTATCACATTTGAAATTAACTTATCGGAAGACAATAAAAAAAATTATAGAAACAAATATTGTATGGTGACCTCCTCCACTCATGCTACACCATTTTATTCACTTTAAAACAAATATGAAGGCTGACTACAAAAACATGTAAATAGATTCAAAATCTGTGCCACCATACATGTTAATATTCTATTGGAATAAGCTAACAATCTAATGTGGTACAAATCATATGCACGAGTCACACTTAGTTACTAATATTTTTGTCATATTTAACACATGATGCATTCAATTTTTATTTGACTCATTTAAGCTATAGTAAAAATATGTAAAATATAACATTTAATGAGTAAATATTTAAACATTAACATAATATCCTTAATCTCAGTTGTGTATGCAAATATCAGAGATACTTAAATACAACTAATATAATTTCTTTTCATGGCACATGTCAACCAAACTAGAGCAACAGAAAAAATGAAACTACAAACAATTAATCTGAATTAAATAAACTTTATAACACAGACTTATCACTGCAAGAGTCTTTGAACATAAGGTACTGTACATTTGTCTATAGGCTACTTACTCTGGAGCTCACCATTAACTATAATCTTCTTCTAAGTCTACTTAAGTAATTCTGTATAGAGTATTCTACATGCTAACAAATATTCTTAGTTATACATGTTGTTTTTTTGCTGGCAAATCCAGATCCTTTGCTAATGTATCAAAAAATTTTCATTTTGTTTCTGCCAGGGTTTGCCTTGATTCCACTGTTGACTTAAGGACTTTTGAGGTCTCTCTGCATTTCTTCTGACCTGCCTCGATCATTGTATGAGCTACACTAGCAACAGCAAAATCTTTTTCCTTGATAGCCTTAGCCAATTTGTCATTCCCTTCATTTAAAAGCTTCTCACCCACACTTAACAAATCCTTTGCTTCTTTTTTTTTGGCACACAATTAGTCTTTTTCTTGAGAAAGTGCAGATTGTCTTTCACTAACTCCTGTTTTTGTTCCTTCTTCTTATCTGCCCCCTACTTTGACCTAGCTATCAATAATCCTAGTTATCAAAGGTTTGGAAAATAACAAACCATATAAGGAAGGAAGGAGCTCTACAATATATGGATTGTGAGAATGAAAATAATCCTAGCTATGAAAAGGTTAGAAATTAACAAGCCATATACAACAGAAAGGCAGCTCTATGGCATATAGTTTGTGAGACAGAAAATAATCTCAGCTATCGAGTTTTGAAATATGACTGTATTTAACAAAATAGTAGTCAACTAAAACACAATCCAGACAAGTTATTTTCTTCAGATCAAAGGTCACCTTTATGTTATTTGATATGGTAACATGAGTGTTGTGAGCCACATCGCTGTAACTTTTGTATTGTTAGCCAGGCATGGGTGAAAGGTCAATATAAAAAAAATATATATATATAAATGCTATTTCGTTTTGAACATTTATGTTTTTGTGTTATAATTTGTGTTCATTTTAGAATGAAAGATGCATAATTTATGGTTATTTCCTACTTTGCGAGATCTCATAATCTTATGAGATTTAAGTGTTACACTTAATGCTATCAGATGTAGTACTAACTGAACTCCCCCATACAAACTCTGGTGTTATGACTCAATAGGCATCATATCGCAATTACATAAGAAAAAGGGGTTAAATTAAACTATACCAAGCATATAAACTTCTGTTATTATGTATATAATAAACATTAATCATTTAAGAAAATATTTATTTCCAAGATCCCACATATACTAACAGGTAATTGTTACTTACAGTTTTATCTGAATCAAAACAAACTGGGCAAGTTATATCCTTCCTGGGAGGAGAATCATCATCGTCATTCTTCTTGGATCTTAAATTTAAACAAAACAATTTTATAATTACTTTGCAAGACAGATTTGTAAATAGTGTTTATCATAATACAAATCAAACTGAACTAGGAATCTGTTACACACACACTAAGCTAATTAAGAAAAGTAAAATGAATATTACATATTACTCAATCAGATCTTTGAAAATCAAATTTCAGTACATTTTTAAATCAAAGGAAGAACTACTGCCTGAAAACTGTTAAGAATAAGACTATGTAAAATTAATCGTGTTTATTTGTTACCATACACTAAGGTCATCTGATCTCAAGTTTCACTTTTTTTTTTAATGTGGAACGATTGTGAATAATCATGAATGTGGCTTTCACCCATCGTTAAAGTGTGACAATTCTGGTACATTTTTTTATTTATACCTACATTTCTTATTGACAAATTCTTCAGAATTTTTAGGTTTTATACAGACTTTCATAGCTTGTTATGAAAAATGGCCATTTTTGAAGCTGTTAAACATTTCTGCTAATAATCGTGACAATTAAACTGCTGTCATTTACAGAGGGTTTAGTATGTTATATTAACCCTATGTTAATGGCATTGATCCACTGAACTTACCCCATATCTGTGAAGCTAAGCATAGTAAAGTTTATCATTCTGAAATTACTGTATGTATTAGTAGGTAAATACAAAACATGTGTAAAGTACTCTAAAATAAAGTTTCAATCCACAATGATGGAACAATAGTAAAGTTATATGGATACTGATTTTAATACTTTCACATCTTCTTCAATCCAATGTTGGATTGAAGAAGACATATGAAATTGTCAAAATCAGTAACCATATAAATTTGGTATTGTTTCATCATTATGTATTTATACTTTATTTTAATACATATATCTTCAGAACATTTGTCAAGCTGTTATTAAGTATTACAAATCTGTTATACACAAAAAAATTAAAATTTTTAATAAAGTATCTCTACTAAAATTTGTCTGTGAATTTCTGAAGCCTTGACTGAGTCAATCTGAGTGCAAAGTGATTTTCATGTTGAGGGTAAAATACTTTTTCTCACAGTCTCATATTTTGATAGCATAACCTCTTAATATTTCATCAATTATTTTCTCCACCATAACACGCACTCTGGTGAAATCATTAATTTACAGTTAAAGAATTAAAACAGGAAATAAAGTGTACAATACTTTTTTTTTGTCTACTTTAAATGCATACTTTTGTTAATGTTTGATTGTCAGTCTTCTTGTTGTCAGAGTTTTAACTGTTAACCTTTTCACATGATTTCTTTAATTTTATGGTTTTATTGATTTACTTTTTTACCCATGGAACAGTAGGATCTTCCCATCTAAAGCAAAAAACCACAGAGCGGAGATCATTACCCACATGTCATAAACACCACAAGTGAAGTACATGACCTGTGTGATCTTTGCAAGTGCAAGCTGAAACTGTGCTAAGCTTGATTTTTTTTCCCATTAAGTTAGTTCTTCCAAAAATATTCATGAAGTGTCAAATATGCATTTTTGGAACACAAAAAATATATCAGGTATTAGAATAGAATGTATCAAAACTACTATAGTTTAAATGGATTTCTATCCAAGCATTAAATAGGTTCTAAACTTCTATTAACTTCACATAGCTGAACAATAATGTTCACACATAAACAACTACTTAAAAGAAAAAAACAGTAATAATATTCTGAGGGGAAAAAATGATTTTTTTTTTGGACAAGTGATTTACCTGAAAAAGACAGACCAATGTTCTGTCAAAACATATAATATGTTCCACCACCAATAAAATTCTTCCTTATGCTTATAAGTCATTGTTTACCTACCTATTGTTATTCCTTTATAATTTGATAAGATGGGAGGAGCTTTAATGGTGGATTTAACAAATTTATTTAGATCTCAGCAAATTGAGTAGATAGGAAGTTCAAATTTTATATTCTGACTGGACGATATCTTTAGTTTGTGCTTCTAATGGGTTAGATAACTCTGAAAGTCATAAAAGGGAAGAGAAAAAAAAACTAAAAAAGGAGATGCATCATGTAACACAGAGAAATTAAAACTTATATAAAACTTTGAATTATAAAATATGTTTTAATAACAAATTAATCATACATTGAAAATAAAGTTGTTTAATCAAATTTTGAATTAACTCTGCAAAACATGATGACATATGCATTTTGGCCTAGCTGAGAAAAAGTTACAATGGAACAGCATGTATCAGAATTAATGCTTTACTAGTGTTGGATGTTTTGGAGGTCACCAAAAGCTACTCACTTTTGGGATGGGTATGTAACAACCCTTTTCCAATGCAAAATATTCATACATTCAGATCAAAATGATCTGTTCAGATGGGAGATTTAGAATTCCTAGCTTTGGGACATCCCTTGTACTTAAAGGCACTGAAAAACTATGAAATATGAATCAATGTGGGACAGCAACCACAACCATCCAGAAAATGACCTGCAATGTCTCATACCCCAGCCACAGTATGCAGGTGCCATGTTAAGGACTAGTAATGTCCTAATAAACTGGATATACAACAAGGAAGTACAAATGGAAAAACAGGCCAACAGGGTATTGGTTCACCAAAAAAAGGCTTCCAATTATACCTCCTATTCAAGTGTTGCATACCTCAATCAGCTGGAGAATGAGATTAGTATTAGTGCTATTCCATACGAAGATATACCAGTCAAGATACTGGATGCAATGCCTAAATATTTAGGTGTGGTAAGACTATTGAAAGAAGGCTGGGAAACAATTGTTCTCATGCACTAGTTAGATTATAGAACACCAGAAGAAAAGTGTGATGTGCTTTGGACATATGACTTTTGCAAGTTAACATTTTAGCTATTTCTCGGCATTGGCTTTGCCTATCTAAGCATCGGTCTCGCATGCTCCAGTCTTTTATACCCCACTTAAGTGCCCTTGGCAATATCTAATTTGCAAATCCCTCCACCCACATCAATGCACTCTCTATCCTGACACTGTATATAAGTGCCTCACTCAGATAATGTAATCACTTTTTCGAGACTTACACCATCCCAGTCACTAACACCAGCTCTTAGTGGTGAGGAAGGGCAGGAGAGTGTCAGCAGAGAAAAGTATTATCAGAAATACATTTGCAATTTATGAAAATGTTAACTTCCAAAACATACTTACACTCTACTGCCACTTTAGCTAGAATCCCACATTGAGAAGGTGGAGGGGCCAGTGAGAGCATTGTCCATACAAAAAACATCTGCATAGAACATGGGCATACCAAGATAAGAGAGGTACCCAAGTGGGGAAACTGCACTACATCCAGAACAGGTATGTTCTTCACCCAGAATTTAATATTAGTATCAAGGGTGGAATAGTTCATGAGTAATTATTATAGGCCAGCTCCAACCAAATAGCTAAGGTTCCACAACTCGGGATTGGAATTAAAGAATCCTTGTCCCTATATCCTATGTTGGTGGCTAGGGCAATTGAACCACAATATTATATATTGATATACTATTGATTGGATCCCACCTGTAGCCATAGAGTGATGCATTCTAAACCTCCGGAATTACAATGAGAAAGGAAGCAACACTCAAGTGAACAAACTTTCTCCTCCCCCTGAAGAAGTCCCAAAGGCATCATCTCAGGCTCGGAATGACAGGATCATATATGCCTTACTCAACCAAAGGAACAGAACTTATCCAGTCTGGAATTATGAAGATTCAACCTCACTCTTCAACCAAGCATGCATGGAGAATTCCACTTGCCACCGGAATTATGTAGAGGACGTGAAACACTGTGTTCAACCAAGGACCTTGAATGGGACCACTTTGTGTTCAGAATTATGAGAAGATAATAGACCTCCATTCATGAACAATATACAACCCGACATTGTTCATAAGAAGATCCTAGCACACCTACAGATAGCGTAGGATCAAATCTGAACTGGTATTACAAGTTAGCTCCCACGGAGGCTGGTGTCATTCCTACCAACATCTGGGAAATATATCCTGGTCGCTAGGTTGGGGAGCCTCCAGCTTCGCCTTCTTCTCCAAGAGTGAAGGAACACACTTGAACACTCTAGAGGTAAAGCCTCTGTCCATCAACCCAAGGACTGGAAACTGGGTGTGGTAAGGATTCCCTAGCTCCACTAGTAGAATCAGGAGGGTAGTGCACATTGGGGAGTCCTGATAAACAGTGCAATAGGTGAACCAAGTTCCCTAAATTTTTAAAGGCAAACTGACTCCAATTTATTCAATCTGATGATCGGCAGGGATAGGCAGAATCCTCTATAGCTTAACTCATGATAGTCCACGAGTAGTGGTCCATGATAATATGGTAATACCATCTGGTAAGTGCCTAGGTGGTCTTATGGAATACATCATTTCTACAGAGCCTGTTGCAACTAGTAGTAAGTATAGTCAAATGGGATGCTAGTGGGGAATAGGATTGATAAAAGCACACCTTTATGGGCAACACTCATCACAGAGTAGGACCCAGTGTAGGCAAGAAGTAAGGGGCCCTGGCAAAGAAAGACAAGAAAAGGTTACTCCCTCCTCCATATAATCTAGCAGACATTGTTAAAACGGCCATGTGGTGGTAGAGGAGAACCCCCCAGATCATATAAAGAATGTGAGAGAAAAGCATTGGGAGAAGTCTACATACAGGCCTGTAAACTGTCCCCTAGAGAATAAAAGAAATGGCAGTGAAAGTCATAAATGTGCTGAATCTGATAAAATCTTACTCTTAGAAGATTCCTTGCCTGTAAAATCCAGAATATGCAACAAGGACATTTGCAAATCCACCTCCAAGGAAGTGGGGATAAATCATGGAAAACCAAAGGATCCCAAAGAATACAGAGGCAAGAACTATCACCATAAAAGCATTTAGAGTGAGTCACATAACACCTCCGAGCTTGACAGGACAAAATAAATGATCAGCGTATGTAGAGATTGTAGAGATAAGAAATAGACAGCAAAAGCATTGTGGAGATGGATGCCAGAGACTTAGAAAAAAAAGGACATAAGGTG